TTGAGAAAAATGGTTAACCCTAATTTCTAATTTAAAAAGAAAATAAAATTCTTTAAGTATTATTTTTGTGTACTTTTTGTCTTAAAATAATAAATAGTATTTATGAAAATATTTAGTCTTTTTATATGTCAAAATAAATATTTACAAGTGTGAGAAAAGAAATAAAATATATTTAAGTTTATTTTATTTTAAAAGTTTGTTTAAGAAAAATAATTAGTATATAATTATATAAAAATATATTTTTTTATATGAAAATAAAAATAAAATAAATCAAGATGCAATATTTATCATATTTTATTTTTTCATTATTTTTTTATACTAAAGAAAATGTTTAATAAAATAAAAAATGAAAATAAAAAGAAAGAAATAAAATGCATGGGCCAGGGGGTATCCTGAGCAAACATGAGGTAAGTATCAGAAAAAATGTGAAGCCCAGTAGTTGAGCCCACGCTGCAAAAATGGCCAAAAATGAAACTGGAAAATATGAAGAAAAAACACAAAAGGTAGCGCCAAGGTTCGAACCCATGACCTATGCATTTCCAACGCGCTACCTTGCCACTGGGGTGGCTGTACATCCGTTAGTTCATATGAAATAAAATATACATAACACATAATAACTCCTAGCCCTGTACTTCATCTTCTTCCTCAAGCTAGCCAAAACCTCTGTATCTTTCTCCTTTCTCCATGAAAATGGAAACTTCCAACATGAAAATGATAGTACTCTTTCCCACGACTTCAACCATATAACTCATGTAAACTAACAATCAAAGATCAAAACAAATTTTAAAGGACCTAATTTTTATAGAAATTTGAACTCTAAAATTCTTTATACATAATGAACAGAAATGAAATCTATGCACATGGTTGGCTTTAGCACAATAATATCTATATTTTCCTTTCACAAATCGTAGCCAATGGATGTCTATATAAAGAGATAGAAGTTGGAGTTCTTACCTCTTTCAGCTGAGATCGTGAATGCAGTTTAAGTGAGTTTTATGAAGGCCTAAAGATTCCTTTAGCTTGCCAGAACCTCCCTGAGTATTTTCCAATCCTTGCCTTGCTTTGAAAGTGCCTGAACCTCTCTATCCAAGTCAACCTGCAAGCTTGAAAATCAAAAATGACAGATGAAGAAAGAGGAGTTACAGTGAAGGGATAATGGTCTGGAGCACTTAGATATGAGGTAGGTAAAGTGTTTGGGTGATTAAAACTTGAAACGCACGAGTAGATTTGTGCATTGCTATGCTTGGTCTCAAACTGCAAGTTTTGACAGGTTTTTGGTGATAGGGAGTTTTTGAGTATTTCTGGCCTTTAGAAATTGTGTTCTAAGTTGTAATTTGTTTGTGTATAAGTATAGAGAAGGTTTCTCATCCACTCCGTAACAGGTTTCTCAGTTATAGCCTTTTTGCACTCTTACTTGCTTTTTAAGAAAGGTGAAGAGACCACTCTCTACATGCTTGTACATGCCTGCTTGGAGTTGGTACAAATTCTAGTCAACTTGTTTTTGGTTTATAGGACTTGTGTGTGCAGGGAAAACAGGTCCAATGCTCAAGAAGTGAAAAGTTGCAAAAGCTATGCTTTTTCAAAATGGCAATGGTAACTTTGTGCCATTTATGGAATTAAAGTTTGGATAAAGACTCTTGTGCTTGGATTAAGGCTTTATCATCTGTTTAAGCATTAAATTATTAAGTGAGAAACAAGTTTGAGACCTGTAAAGCAAGGATTAGGCATCATAGGTTCAGATTTGAATTTTGTTCTTCATGAAATGGCTTGAAATTAAAGTGAGAAATTGTCAACTTCCTCTCTTCGATTCTCCCTACTCAAGAATGATCTCAAAGAGTTCTTGTACATTTTGGAAATCTTGCTATGTTTTCTATAACTCATCTTTGAAATGAATTTCAAGATTCCTCTTGGAACTAGGTGAAAAATTGCCATGAAGTTAGGTCAAAAACCTGCCTAAATTAGGGCAAAATTTCACTAAGTTATTTTAGTTCATGAGCATGTATTCACAAAATTATATCTTGAGATCCAAGCATCTTTAGGGAGAAATGTATGAAGCAAAGTTGTAGATTTCATGGAGATCTACAAATTTCATGTTGCAAACTTCCTTTGAATCATCTTGTATCATGGTGAGAATTTGGCTTAAAGTTGAGAAAAAATAAGAAATTTTCTATACTTAGAAAATTTTCCAAGTTAAGAAAATTTCAAATTTCAAAACCAAATCCTCAATCTTTGATTTCTTGATGAGAAAGTTTCACATTTTGACATGTTTTAATGAATTGTGATCCTTGACACTTGATTTTGACCAAAAAGTCAAAGTTTGACTTTTCAGTATAAATTGACTTTTGATCAGTTGACTGTAAATTTCATCTGTCAATCTAATGAAATTGAAATGTTTTGAACCATGTCATTAGGTCAAGATGATACAATTGAATCCTTGAAATCATGCTTCAAATCAATTGGTCATTTTCCAGGTCAAAAATTAGAAATTGCCCTTTCTCAGTCAAAACCCTAATTTTAACCATTTTGCCCTTTTGATGATTTGATCAAATTTCTTGAGGAATTGTGGTCCAAACTTGATCAAATGATACATATGAGTCTAGAATGTTGATGTGGATAAAAAATTATGAAGTTTGACTGTAAATTGGCCATGGTTGACTTTTTCCCCAATACAACTAATTTTTAGGTCAACTGTCCAATTGACTGATCAAAAATGTGGTTCAAGGCTTGAAACTTGTCATGAGTAATCTTAGGGGTCCATAATGATGTTTGAAATTCATATGAAGCATTGATTGTCCAAAAATCTTTGTACAATCTCAAACCCTAATTTTGAGTGATCAATGCATGATGAGAGGTCTTGAGCTGGTCAAACCCTAATCCAGTCTTGAGTCAAAGAGATCTTGTGAGAATAATCTTGATAAATGAGAGGGAAAATTTTAGGGTGCAACATACTTCTTATGTCCACTCTATCTCCACACTAATCAGAGTCTGAATAACTCAGAAGTTCTGATTCGATCTTTCTTCCAGACAAAAATAACACTCCATACTTCAGAGTTCCCTTGACATACCTCATAATCCTGACAACAGCTTAGTAATGAGACATCTTTGATTTACTCATAAATCTGCTAACCATTCCAACTGCAAAGTAAATATCAGGTTTGGTATTACACAAATACCTTAGAGAACCAATCAACTGTTTGAAGGTTGTAGCATCCACACCCTCTCCATCAGAATCAGAGTCCAACTTCTGATTCATATCAGTAGGTGTGATAACAACTTTGCAATTATCTAGCTCAAATCTCTTCAGAAGCTCTAGTTCATACTTCATCTGATGCAAAATGATTCCTTTCTCAGAGTACATAAATTTCATCCCTAGAAAGAAACTCATTTTCCCAAGATCTGTCATCTCAAACGCTTTCATAAGAACTTTCTTGAACTCAGCTATCTCTTGTTCAGAACTTCCTGTGAGTAATATATCATCAACATACAAACAAATCAGAATCATATTACCTTCTAAAGTGTGTTGAACATAAACACCATACTCCATCTCACACTTCTGAAACCCTTGTTCCTTGAAAAACGAATCAATCTTTAAATTCCAAGTTCTGTGCGTTTGCTTCAATCCATACAAGGCTTTGTGTAATTTGAACACCATCTCTTCCTGATTCTTTTTCTCAAATCTAGGAGGTTGTGATACGTATACCTCTTCTTATAATAGATCACTCAGAAATGCAGATTTTACATCTAAATGCATCATAGGCCAATTCCTGTTAGTAGCTATTGCAATCACTAGTCTGATTGTTTCATGTCTCGCTACAGGTGCAAACACTTCAAAGTAATCTATCCCAGGCTTCTGTAGAAAGCCTCTTGTTACTAATCTTGCTTTGTGTTTGCCAATTGATCCATCTGGCTTTAGCTTCTGCTTGAAAACTCATCTGACTCTGATGGCTTTCTTGCCTTTTGGAAGTTCTGTCAGCTTCCAAGTCTTGTTTCTCTCTATAGCATCAAGTTCTTCTTTCATGGCCTGTAACTAAACTTGTTGCTTAAGAGCCTCTTCCGTACTTACGGGTTCAGAGTCTACTAACATTGCACATTGAATAACTTCTCCTTCAGAGTCTACTTCAGTGTCTTGCAACATGTCAAAATCTGCAAATCTTTTTGGGATGCTTCTGACTCTTTGTTGCCTCTGAACTCTTCTCTTTCAGCATGCTTCTCACCATATCAAGCAAAGTACAATTTCTTCTTTCAGCAAGACCATTGTGTTGAGGAGTATAGGGAGCAGTAACCTCATGCTCAATTCTATATGACACAAAATATTTATTCCCTCCAGTTGATGCTACTGGAAAAGGACCGCACACATCAGAATGCACTACTCCTAAGGCATGTTTTGCTCTTGGAGCTACTTCTGATGCAAATGGTAATCTTGATTGCTTCCCTTCCATGCACACCTTGCATGACTTTTCAGGCTTCTTGATTGTATTCAAAGTCTGCAGTTCTAACATTCACTTTGAATGTTAATCAGCTTCTGATTACATACATACCAAGTGCCATCAAATACTGGAAGCTTGAAATGGACATCGCTGTCGTTGGGGGAAGATACTAGGAGCATTGATACATAGTATAAGAATAAACACTTTTGTGAGAGACACACCACTTATCCACCTAAAACCTTAAGGTGATAGGTGAGTGACTTCTCCCACTTATATATGCTTAAGTCTCCGTATTCCTATCCAATGTGACACTATTTCTCCACTTACTCACACTTGCTATATTATTCTAACATATACATCCACCAATTTAAACAGTTATAATAGTGAATATATTTATGCCGGACTATACCGTTCACCTTGAATATATTTAATGCAAATTAAACTAAACTGGAACAAAATTACTACAAAGAGGAGTTCAATTCGATAGAATTCACAATGTCATTTCATCACAAGACAAAAACTGAAGTTAAAAACAGAGCGAAAAGAAAAAAATAAATATCTTTTGTCCATTCATCACTGAACAATTTTACAAGAAACTAGATTCTGAATTGAAAGACATGAATGACGCCCCTGAAAATTATCCATGATGCACCACCTGTCAACAACAAAAAATCGAATATTTTAACTGTCAATAAAAGAAAACTTAACTAAACAAAATGCAACAATTATAAAAGTCATATAAATAGATTAAAAATAATTTCTTAGTTAACAATTAAAATAGTGTGAAAAGTTATTTATTCAATTAGTGCATAAGAAATCTATGACATAAGCCTAATTTAGTTAAACTTATTTAACTATTAAGGAATTAATTTTGCGATAAAATGGAACTTACAAAAGGTAAACTGAATGGTTACGTAGAAGATGACGATGAGTCACTTAGTGATAATGTAAATAGCATAGATGATTCCAGGAAGATAGCCAAAAAGAGTGAGAATCAAACAGATCCAGAACTCCTCCTATGTTTATAACAAAATAACAATTAAATAAACATGAAAAAAAAATACAAAAGTAACTCTTGAAAAGAAAGAGGGGTTGACTTACTTCTAAGCCAAACCTTGAGAAGACACCAAGAGGTGGGAGAACGATGGCAAGAAGGATGTCGACGAAGGTAGCTGTACCCATTTTCTTTTGAGTTCAAACTTGAATGAGAGAGAAAGTGGTAGAAAAGAAGAAGAGTTTAGTTTACAAGAGAGTTGTTTTGGTTAGGTATGATAAAGTTAGACAGTGAATGTTATTTGATAAAGACGAATGAGGTGTGTAAGGAGTTAGGACCAGTAAATAAGAGTAGTACTACAGTAGCCCCACTCTAAGGCTCTTAGAACCACCCAAAAGAAGATGAGAGAGTAAGAGTTGAGGCTGTGAGTTTCAAAAGGAGGGGGGCAAGATAACTTTCTAAAGTGTGGAGTCACATGTTGAATATGATGTATTATTTTTAGTTTTTTTTAAGGGGTAAATCCATTTTTAGATTCATTAAATAATTAATCAGTTGTAATTGTATTTATGTGTATCGAATATGATCACATATGTTGTATATTTATAGGCAAAATAGGTATATACAATATGTAATAATATAATTTACACTTATGACTAATTGAATACAAATCAATATTAATTGATTTGTAACTGATTCTGAACACTCGCCCTCAAGTCGAATAGTATATATTGTATGATCTGAGCTTGTTACAGATATAATTCACTCGAGAATCCTTAAGAGACTTGGTAAACATATCACTCAATTGATCTTCAGATTTGACGAATTCTATGGTTATTTCTCCTGACAGTACTTTTTCTCTTGCATAGTGACAATCTATTTCTATGTGCTTGATCGGTTTATGGAATACCAGATTGGATGCAATGTGAAATATCGTTTGATTGTCACATATGAGTCTTGTGTCCTGAAGGTCTCACAACCTAAATTCTGAGAGTAAATTCTTAAGTCACGCAAGTTCCTTTGATGTTGCTGTCATATCACGATATTCAGCTTCAACACTAGATAGTACAACTGTATTTTGTTTCTTGCTCCTCCATGAGATCATATTTCCTCCAAAGAACACAATATCTGAAAGTGGATCTCATATCCGACGGTGATCCTGCCCAATTTACATATGAATAAAAAGTGATTTTAGCATCACCCTTATCTTCATATAATAGGTCTTTTCTGGTGCATTCTTTATATATATGAGAATCCGAATAATTGCATTCCAATGAATATCACAAGGAGCATTCAAAAATTGACTCACAATGTTCATTGTAAAAGTAATATCTGGTCTGGTGACTGTAAGAGAATTGAGTCTACCCACTAGACGTCGATATCTTCCTGGGTCTTTCAACAACTCCCCTTGATCCGAAAGAAGTTTGACATTGGGATCCATAAGAGTATCAATCGGACGACAATCAAGCATATATGTTTCATTAAGGGTGTCTAATGCATACTTACGTTGGTTAATTGCAATGTATAATGAGGACTGAGCAACTTCAATACCCAAGAAGTATTTGAGTGGACCCAAGTCTTTTATCTGAAAGTTGTTGAAAAGATGAGTTTTGAGTCGTTTGATACCTTATGTATCATCTTTAGTGATAACAGTGTCATCAACATAGACCACAAAAAAGATGTATTGAGTGATCTGATTCACATCTAGTCATAGCAAACTATATCAAGGCAGAGCTGAAGCGACCAAACCAATCACGTGGAGACTGTTTAAGCCCATAAAGAGACCGACGAAGCCGACATGGAAGTCTAGAGTTGCCAGGAATGGTAAAACCTCGAGGTTGGTCCATATATACTTCTTCCTCCAATTCTCCATGTAAAAAGGCGTTTTAATGTCTACTTTATGAAGCAGCCAATGATTAATAACAACCAATGGAAGAAAGAAACAGACGGAAATAATCTTGGCTGCTGGAGAAAAAGTGTCACCATAATCAAGGCAAAATATTTGCGTATATCCTTGGGCTACCAAACGAGCTTCGAAATGATCGATTTGACCATCTATGCCAACCTTCATTGTATAAACCCATCAACATCCTACTGTAGTTTTGTCAGAAGGTAAAGTAACAATATCCCAAGTGTTATTTGAATGCAATGCAACCATTTCTTCCACCATCTCTTGACGCCAATTAAGATCATTCAACAACATCACCTGTAGAGTTAGGAATAGACACATAGGAAGTAGAAAGACAATCATAATTTAAAACACATGCACATTTAGGATTTGGAGTATGAGGTCGAATATCTTTTTGTAATGTTATTGGAAGGTCGAGTTCAGGTGACGTAGTTGGAGGAACGGTTAGAGCAGGAGATAGTGCTGATGGATTAATATCATCTCTAACTTCTGATGGACGGGGTGTTCGTTACTGGTAGACATGTAATGGAGGCTTAATGAGTGTGGGGATGACATAAGGGACATCTTAAGCATCTAAGTTACAAGTCTCATCGGATGACACAGAGGCAGAAAAAAATAGGGAACCTTCAAAGAATATAACACCAGAGTAAACAATATTTCGTTGAAGATGAGGACAGAAACAACAATATCATTTTTGTATACGTGAGTAGCCTAGAAAAATACAGTTTAGAGATTTGGCTGAGAGTTTGTCTTTACCTGGACTAAGATCATGAACAAAGCATCTGCAACCAAAGACGCGAATCAGAATAGGGTAGAGGCCATGTTGTGAATTCAAGATAGAGTATGGAATCTGATCTTGAAGGACCGATGAAGGCATTCGGTTGATGTGACAGGTTGTGAGGAGAATATCACCCAAAAAATGAGAAGGTACATTATGGTAAAGTAAAAGAGTCAATGTGGTTTCAACTAAATAACTATTCTTTCATTCAGCAACATCGTTTTGTTGTGGTGTATGAGCACATGATGATTGGTGAATAATTCCCTGTAATGTTAAAAAAGATTGAAACTGGGATGACATACATTCACGAGCATTATCAGTGCGTAAAATTTTAATGGAAGTATTAAATTGGTTTTTAATTTCAGCATAAATCTCTTGGAATATATAGAAAACATCTGAATGATTTTTCATTAGAAATAACCAAGTACATCGTGAGAAATCATCAATTAAAGTTACAAAATAGTAATATCTTAAGGTAGACTTCACACGACTAAGACCCCAAATATCAGAATGAACTAAAGCAAAAGGTGATGCAACACTTTTATTTACTCGTTGACAGTAAGTACTACGAGTATGTTTGCCTAATTGAAACGACTAACACTCAAAAGATGAACCCTTAGAAAAACCAAGAACTAAAAGACACACTTTATTAAGACTAGGGTGGCCCAAATATTGATGTGTAAGGTCTTAATAACCAATCGAACCACATGCCACAGGTGGAGATAAATGATATAATCCTCCAGATTCACTACCTGCTCCAATCGTCCATCCTGGTTATAAATAGAATCATCATTAAAAATGACTGAACAGTCAAGAGTACGAGTAAGCTTGTGAATAAATATCAGATTAAAAGGACAACAAGGAATGTAAAGAACAAACTCTAAAAGACAGGTTTGGAAGTGGGTGTGTCTGACCAAAACCTTGAACTTTGATTTTAGAACCATCAACCACAGTGACAGAAGGAAAAGAATCATAATAAAAAAAGTGAAATAAAAGGCATTTATTACCAGTCATATGATCAGAGGCACCAGAATCAAGGACCTAAGGAGAAAGAGTATATGTAGATACAAAGGCTACATGATTACTCGATTGAGCAACAACGACATATAATGATAGTTGTGATGGTTGATGGGCTGCTTTGAATTGGAGGAAATCATTATAATTAACGACGGAAATTGTAATGTCTTTAGTGTTATCCGATTAAACGATGACATCAACCCATGGTTTTCGTTGTTGTTCTCTTGCCTTTGTATGACAATCAGCTTCAATGTCGCTGTAACGATTGTAATAGTTACAACGAATACCATGATGTTGTCCACCCCTTCCTCTAGTTCGTCCACCACGACCATGATAGTGGGAAGTAAGAGTAGATCATTTAGTGGAAGATGGAGTGCAAACCAGTCCAAAGGCATGAGGTGTAGCCAAACACAATAGTTGTTCACTAACTGCTTCATAGTTAGGAACATTGGATCCTAATAAAATTTGGTTCTGGACGAAATCAAGCTCAGATGGTGGCCCAACAAGTGCCACAATCATGAAATACTTACTTTGTTGTTCAACATAAGTTATTGGATCTTTGGTAAAGGGCATTAGGGTTGTAAAATTTTCCTTTAACGCGTCACTTACTCATATAGGCTTGCATATCCATATTCTCCAATTTCAAAGAGTTGAGTTTAGTGATGACACTGTAAAGATTATGGACATCATTGAAGAACACTTTCTTAGCCTTTTCTCAAACCTCATAGCAAGTGGTAAAGGTTTTATATTGTGTTTGGAGATTAGTTGAAAACCATAACAGAATGCAAAGAGAAGCATCCATTTATTTACACTTATCGCGTTTGGCGGCGGTAATTTTTCTGATTTTGTATTTATATGATCTTCATATCCTTGACCATGAAACCACATTTTGACAACACCAATCCATATATATAGTTGGCTAATCCGGTGAGTTTCTCACACAGGATAAGTGGAACCTTCATAAAAGTGACGAAATCGGTATCTCCCATGATTTTTGGTTGCTTGGATGGAAAAACTAAGAGTAGATCTGGAAAGAGCACAGGAAGGCGGTGCCGATGATGAAAATGGTGGCGGAAGAGGCGGTGGGACATGTTGTCACACGCGAAGGGAAGTACGACGCGTGAGATCTACGCACAGGCGATGATAGGTATCATTGTTAGATAGATCGCGGCAGCAATTTTAGGTACCGACCGATCAGAAGGAGACGATGTCAGTGGCACGGTTACTTCTTCGAGAGCAGTGGTGCGCTTGTGTAGTGTCGTGAATGGTCAGATATTTTGCAGAAATGAAAAAAAATCTCTGGAAGAAAATGGGTCAACCAACTCTGATACCATATAGTGATTGTATTTTTGTTTGTCAAATATGATCACACATGATGTATACACAATAAGTAATAATGTAATTTACACTTATGACTAATTGAATACAAATCAATACTAATTGATTTGTAAAAAGATTCTCAATACAATGTATTTAGTTTGTTTATA